CTGAATGGCTGTCTGCTCTTCTATTGCTCCTTCCAGAGCTGTGGCCAAGGCCCCGCTTCCTCTTTCCCTGCCCCTCCTCCCTGGGCAGCCGTGTGTGTGTGTGTGTGTGTGTGTGTGTGTGTGTGTGTGTAAACTCCACCACCCCTGGTGCCCAAAGCTCGCTGCCTAGAAACATCCTTGCAGGATCCAGGCTCCCAGCTGACTGACTCTCCCTCCTGTACCTGGTCGTGACCCTCCTCTGCTCACCCATCTCCAGGACAGGAACTCGCTCCCTCACAGGCCTGTATTCAGTTACCAAACACTTTCCATCATCACAGAGTCCTCCCTTTCATGAGCTGAAATCACCTCCTGGTGACTTTCCTGTATTGGTTGGGGCTACTTGGAATGTGTCTGCCGGGTCCCATCCCACCAAAATGCTTTAAGTTGTGAATACTTAGACTCCATCATCTCTTCTGTACCATTCTTCCAGGAAATGCTCCATGGGCTGGATGCTTTTTGGTGTAAACCCAGCTCGCCTTGTCTTCATCATCTAGGACAAGGTTGACGAGCAGGTTTCTACTTCAGATTTTTCAATTCTAGCTGACTGGCAGTGACTTCCTAGTATACTGTGTTGAGAAGGATTCTGAGGTACACTGTTGGGACAGTGTGCAGTGATCAGTTAGGGATGCCTTTCACTTCTGGTTTTATCCAACAAAGTTGTCACAGTCAGTATTGTCTCTGCTCTTCTTGCTAAAAAAGGAGAGAGGTACCCTTTTCTCAGTCTCTCTAGACTGAGAGATACCCTTTTCAGCACAAAGAATTTCTGGGCAGCCGGAAAGTAGCAGCAACTACTGCAAGCTTGGCAGCCAGCCTCCTGGGCACTGATGCCCCTCCCGACTCCACAAGTCTGAGAAGTTGCCAAATGCCATCCATGTGTCCAGACCCAAAGCTCCTCCATGGGAAGTGCCTCAGATAACGTTTGTGTCACTAGGAACACTGTTTGTCTGATGGCTGTTAAAGGGCCAGTGAGGACTTCAGGGTGGGAACAGGCGGATGGAGCTCAGAGAAAAGGCAAGCGGGAGGTTCCCTCATGGCACAGCACTGGGTGACCGAACAGGAACACGGCTCTATTCAGCAACAGAGCCCGGCCACAGCCCTGCGCACCCCTGCCAAGTGCCCTGGGAACATGTTCACTGCACGGCGCCCAGCCACCAGGGCACAGAAGCACACTGTGGCATAAGCTCATTTAAAGGGATGGCTCTAACCAGCATTCTGTCCCGGCCAGATCCCTGGGAATGCTTTCCTTCCTTGTTTTACTTCCAGGAGCAGGTGGGAGGCGGGTGCTGTGAGGTGGAGTGGCAAATCTCTTCCATTTCCTAGGCCTTTGTTTGTCCCTCTATAAAATAAGGCGGTCTGAGTGCCGCATCTATAGCATGTGGAGCTCCTCTGCCCACTTCCATATCCATGACAGACATCAATAATCAATCATGACACCCTTTAGAATCTTCAACACAGAACTCCTAATAGCCTGCAGCAATCGCTCGGATGTGGCCCATAAGATAATATCTACTTGCCTTTTTGAGATGAGATGAGTTCAAAATGTTCAATTCTAACATTGATTTTTTTTTTTTTTAATTGCCTTTCTTTCCTGCTACTAAAAGGCCAAGCCAGATTCCTCTGAGCCTGACCCTTGGCAGAAGAAACTACACCCTCAAGGAGAAGGTCTGCCTTGATGGATGTGAGACACCATCATGACCAGCAGGGAGTGCCCTGGCCCTGCTTTGGTACCGGCTCCAAAATGGTGGCTCCACTTCTAACTGTGGTTCTTACACCTTTTCCACAGAAGTCTTCCAAAAGCAGGTTACTCAGAAATTGCATAACATCCTCAACGTCCCTGGATTCTAGGGGGGCAGTACTAGAACAAGCTCAGGGGAGAAAACCGAGAACCAACTAGAAGCCATGTCTTCTGACACCTCACCCAGTGCCAACTTTCTTTTCTATCCTGCTTCTTCTCTACATCACACTGGCTTATTCTTCAGACCTGGGAAAAAAGCAGAAACTATTACTACTCCTTCCTCTCGAAGAGGTACTTTATACTATCAATACTAGTATTACTGCTAATAACAGCGATTTACTAAGTATAATGTTGAGTACTTTATACACATTATCCTATTGAATCCTCACCTAACCCCATAAATTTGCAATTGTGAGAACTGAGGCACAGAGAGGTCTAGCAGTTTGCCCAAGGTGCAACAGCCATTAAGTCAGGGAGCCTGGATCCACTCCCAGCCTGAGGAGCCGAGCTCATTCTCCTTGCACAACACTGTACCCTTCGGTTCCCACACCTATGAGGTGGCCAGGACAGGGAGAATGTCTCCTTTAACAGAAAAGGACATTAAGGCACAGCAAGGCCAAGGAGCCTATTGCTGAGTAGCAGCTGAGCTGGAAACCAGAGTCTGTGGCTGGCATGAGGCCCTGGGGCCTCTCACTGTGCAGGGAGTTGGCCCAGGGAGGACTCCCAGCATTTCCAGAGCATGGCCACTCCAGGCTTTCCCCACTGAATCCTGACTGCTGGCCCCGCCTCAAGGTTCAGATTCAACTACTCTTCACTGGGCATCTCCCAGTGAAGGGCATAAATAACTCCTGGGTCCAGTGAGTCTTCAAGTGAGCAGGGCAGGTCCTCTCCTCAGTTAACTAACACATCCATTAGTGGCTAACACAGTCCTAGGCCTTGGGGAGTGAACACTGGTGGAGGGAGGTCAGACGCAGGCCCCAGAAAAGACTCTTCTTTCATTCGACACTGGGCTAAGTCACTCATGCTCTTCAGCAAATATTTCTGGTTCATCCCCCCTTCTGTCACATGGGAAATGGCATTTCCCCGCCTCCCTGGGGTTGGGCGGGGCCACCTGACTAACCTGGCCAATGACTGTGAAGGGAATTAACACATCTCACTTGTGGATTGCAGCTGGCACATGAGTCCCTCCAGAGCTGTCTTTCCCTCTGTCACTTGGCTGGCAGCATTCCAGACAATGGCTGCTTTAAGCCTGGGTCCAGAACAGAGCAGAGCCCCCAACTGGCCCACAATGGACATGTAGTGGGACCAAGAAATAAATGAACCTTTGTGGTTCTGAGCTACCAAGATCTCATTACTTTTTAGGGTCTTTTGTTACTGTGGCATAACCTAGCCCCATTCTGACAGCTATAGCAGCAATGACAACACTGCTTCCTAGAAACTAGTACCTTGCTAGGAATTGTGTGGTGGGAGTAGGGAGCACAGACACAGATCAGACAGGTCCTGGAGCTCTAATCTCCAGGAGCTGCCCATCTTGTAGCAGAGGCAGGTGCCGACAGGGCCCCTCTAATCTCAAGTGGATAATGGGAAGTGCCCCCTGAGGGGCAGGGCAGAAACAGACCACTTCTGACCAGAAGAGATCAAGGAAGGCTTCTGGGAGGAGGGGGCACTGGAGCTAGTCTTGTAAACTGGGTTGGATTTCGGCAAAGGCATTCCAGGGAGAGAGAACAGCAGGAGCAAAGGGTAGGAAATGCTGCAGAAGAGCAGACTGTGCTGGAATGAAAGGACCAGGAAGAAAGAAATAAGAAAGGGGGCTATGGGGCTCAGGTTATGGAGGACCTTGATGCTAATAGCCTTGACCTTAGATACAGTGGGGAGTGACATGGTCAGTGTTTCATTTTTGTCAAGGTCCCTGGCAGCCAAAGTAGATGGCAGGTGAGGGCAGAAAGACACAGAGGCACAGCTGTTAGCAGGATGCCACAGTGACCCAGGTGGAGTGATGGTGGCCACAACCAGCCCAGGAACAGCTGGGAAAGGGAACTTGAGGCTGATCCCCAGCGGCTGGGAAGAAAAGGCAAGAGGTCTCGAGTCTAAACTTGGGGAAGCAGACACAGGGCAGCCTCCCCTGCCTGCCACACATGGGACGGGAGCCTGGGAGTCAGGAGGAGGTGGGCAGAGCTGCCCCGGGAGGGACAGGCAGAGGGGAGCGAGATGGCCTCCTGAGCACAGGAATGTGGAGGAGGGCACAGATGGAAACAGAGACCTGGGAGCAGACTAGGCAAGGTCTCCGTGCCAGGCTGAGGCACGTGGACTGTATTTTACAGACCGGGGCTGCAAACTGGTGGCCCATGGAATGACTCTCACCCACAGGTATGTTTTGCTTGGCAGATTTTAAGTCAAATTAGTCACCAACGTTTAAAGCCAAAAGAATTTACATTCAAATTCTCATTTCTGGCATGTGTTCTGTCCAGAGATCTGGCCACCCTGAGCCCGTCTCCCCACCTAGTTACCATACGTGAGGCGTGGGCTCTCCAGCTGGACCCAGGCCCTACCACCTACCACCTGCCTGTCTGGCTCATCTCCACGATGCTAAATAAACTTATCTTTCAGGCTTTGTGGGCCTTTGCGTTTGCAAACTGGCAGGAGTGCAGGCAGCCCCTAAGGGGTATCCCCTGGCTCACGCTGTAATGTAGCGGGGAGAGATGGTTTCTAAGAAACTCATTTCTACTGAGCTCCTCTGAGCCTGGCCCAGACCAGAAGAGGCAGGAGAAGGTGCCAGACTGCCACCCATCTGATCCTGACTGGACAACTGGTCTGAGCAGGACCCACACTGAAAGCTGCCCCCAGAGACCCCCGGGGAAGCCCAGGAGGAAGAAATGCAGACGGGCATTTAGGACACCGAGTGATAGAGGCTGTGCTGGACCCATCTGGGGTGTGGGAGCCCCATGGTGTGAGAGATTCGCCGGGCCTGCAGAAAGTTCCAGGCAACTGACTTGAGCAAAGTCTTAAAAGGACAGGTAGGGTTTTGCCACGTCAGGTGGGAAGACAAGAGCTCAGAGCAGAGCTGAGCAGGCAAAGGCGAGTGTCAGGAGCTGAGGCCCTTCCCTGAGGGCAGCCACAGAAGGCTCTTGCAGCTGGGGAGGGACAGGGATCCCAGGCCTCCCTCCCTAGCACTCCGGCTCCACGTTCCCACCCTGGCCCCAGCCCGACCCTGCGGACGGGCGCTCACCCAGGGTCTGCTGGTTGCGGACACCGCCAATCACCACGCAGATCTCGGCAGGCACGTCGCCGGTCCCATCCTTGCTCACCCCCTTCTTCTCCTCCTTGGCCTCGCCCTGCCAGATCACCTCCTGGATGTAATCATCGGGCAGCTCCGTCTTGACCTTCACCTCCGTCATCGTTCCCTGCTCGGCGCTCAGCGAGGCCTCGGCCGGCACAGGCTCTGGCCCCTCCACCTTGGTGCTCTTCTGGTTGCGCTTCAAGCGCTCCCTGGGAAAGAAGACAGTCTGCTCAGTGTGGACCCCAGACTCGCCCCAGACCTACCTGGGAGTGCCCCAGCCAAGGGGGGGTTGCAAAATTTTTAGCTATAGACCCACCTCTCACGTGACCCTCACCTTAAAGCACAGGTTCCCACCGCTGCCCCTGAGGGTCCTCCAGGGAACCCTGGGGCTCCAAGGAACACAGTTTGAAAATCACTGGACGAGGATGGCTCAAACTGCACCCATTTTGCAGATGGAAAAGCTGGGGTCTAAACGTGACCAGTAACTCTTGTAACTGGAGTTACAAGAGACCTGCAAGAAAAGCTCTGTGACCATAAATCAGCTGAGTATCTTGGTAAAATGCAGATTTGGTGCAGCAGGTCTGCGGCTTGGCCTGAGATTCTGCATTTCTAACAAGCACCCAGTGGAGACAGGTGCTGCTAGTCCTTAATGGCAGTTTGAGCAGCAGGGGTTTCAGTGGCTTGATGTATGCAGAGCACGTGGTGCCCTTCCCTTTGCTCCTTGGCGGAAGGGCTGCAGAGCTCACCCTGCTTTACAGTAGAGAACATACAGGCCAAAAGGCTCACTGAGGGGGAGGCCACGGAGCCAACACTTGGCCCCCCCACAATCTGGCCTCTAGGTGGCTCTTCAAATAGGAGAAAACATCCTCAAGTTAATACGAGGGTGGGCCCTGAGGCCTAGAGCAGGGCAGCGAGCTGCCCAGGGCCACACACAAGATTGCTGGCAGGCCGAGCCACGAAGTCAGGTCCCAGCCATCCACTCCTGAACTGTTCTCCTTTCAGTGAGACTCTCTGTGTTATGAGAGCCCCCTCATCCTTCTGGCAGTGGTGGGGAAGCTGAGGCATGCACAAGCTGGGGAATCAGGTCACGTTCCAGGCCTGGGGATGCTGCCCTGGCCATGTCCAGCCGTCTCCAGTGCTCCAGAGAAGCAGCCGGACCGTGAACTTCAAGGCCCAGGCTCAGGCAAGGCCGGCTAGCATACCAACTGGAGCTTAGCGGAGGTGCCCGGGCTGGGAGGCAGGACCCGGGATCTCATCCTGGATCAGCAGTGGGCTTGCTCTGTGACTCTGGACAAGACTCTTCCCCTCTCTGGGCTTCCAGCTCCATCTACCACAAGAACATGGGCTTTATCATGTCCACTGTCCTGCCCAGCTCTCAACTTTCTCCCAGGTTGGGGAACTGAGCAGAGAGAGAAGGAAGGCTCCAGCTGATGATAAGGGGGCAGAGAAAGGCCACCGGGGTGGTCCTATGACTGCACTGTGTCTCCCCACCCCCGCTTCACGTGGTGAAGTCCCAAAACCCAACGACTGTGTCTGGAGACAGGGCCTTCAGGACGTAATTAAGATTAAATACAATCAGAACAGTAGGGCCCTTATCTGATAGGACTGTGGCCTTAGAAGAAGGAGAGAGATCTCTTTCCCCGCTATTTCTCTACCATGTGAGGACACAGAGAGGAGGCTGTCTGCAAACCACGAAGAGGGAGCAGAGGCTGCCTCATGGCCTGGCGGGAAGGAGATGCGAGGAACTGAGATGGAAAGAGCACTGGGTTGTGAATTTGGATCATCCCAGAGCCAAATCTCAGAACTGCCACTCTCTCAAGTTGTGGGTTCCTGCAAAAGTGACTTCACCCCCGAGCCTCAGTCTTCACACCCATTCGATGGGGATAAACACGGGCACCTACCCCACAGCACTGTGATGCAGATACAAGGCAATGTCTGCAAGGGACCTAGAACGCTGGCCCCAGTGGAGATGTTCTGGAATACCTATCGTCTATATGGGGGGCAGGAGAAAGAAGTGTTCAGAGAACGAGAGAACGCAGGGGAAGAGTCTTACACGCGTAGATTTTAGTGCACAGGCTGTGGAAGCAAATCAGTGGGGTTTAAAGCGCAGCACTGTCATGCCAGCTTGGAACCCTGAGTGGGCCCTGACCCTCTCTGAGTCTGTTTCTGCACCCGTGAGGCAGGGAGCCCCACACTAACTCAAAGGGCCTCGTGAGGACCAACTGCAAAAATGTACAACCAGGACACTGTCTAGAGCGACTCCTAGAGTGGGGATGCTGCTGCTGAGGGAAACTGGTGATAGAAGTTGCTGAAATCCCTCCCTATTCCCTAGCTGAGACCACGTGGGTGCCACAACTGGCCAGTCCTATCCACCCCGAGGCTCGCTGAGCACAGAGATAGAACTCAGGGACCCTGTCCGACCCTCCATGCCAGCCTGGCAAGAACACAGCCCACGGGTCCTAGGGGCTGCTGGACAGGCAGGCAGCTGAGGACTCTCCCTGGCTTGGGCCTGGCTGGTCCCGACCCCGGCTGCACATGGGGCTAAGCCCCAAGTTCAGGGCAGATGGGCTTCCCAGGGCCCGCAGAGTGGCCCACCAGAGTGGAGGTGTCCCACCTGTCAGTGTTCCCCACAGCTGACGTCACAGGATGGGAAGGACATAGCACAGCTCCCTGCCCAGAATGCCCTCCCCGCAGGGCCTGTGAGCGTTTGACCATCCTGTCTTAACAGACCTAGTGTCCCTTCCTGCCCTCAAGGACCTCATTAGCATCTGCCATCCTGGTGGGAGGGGGGAGCTGTTGGAGTCTGACAGGTTGGGTGTCCACAAACCCCGCAACCTCTGGCCAGAGATTCCCCTCTCTGAGTCTGTTTCCTTGTCTGCTAAAGGGGGACTGTGATCCTTGCCAGCGCGGGGCGGGAGGGGAGCCAGAGAGCTGTACAGAGTGGATCTCCTTGGACGGCAGCTGCCATTATGATGACACTGGTCCATGATGACATCCCTGCCTCTGGGAAGCCTTCCCTGCTTGCTCGAGATGGCGTTAGACCCCATCTCTGAATGCCCCGTCTGCCTTGCACAGGTGACTCTCACACAGGTGACTCTCACACCCTCTTGCCCGCAAGCACAACGGCACACAACCATCCACTCTCTTACAGGTGACATCCCTGAACCCTTGCTGCACTGAGAACACGGGGGACTTCTCTTCCCCCAGCTTCACACTTTAGATTTACAAGCCCAAATGTTGCTTTTCTCGGATGCTTTACATTTAATTAGGCATCCTAATAACAATGGAATTGCAGAAGTACTTATATCACTGTGAATTAGTGGTGCAGCTCCTCCTAACTTCTTTAAAAAAATATTTTTTCATGTATCATTTTTTAAAATAGAGCTCATTATTTTAATTATATCCATTTAAATGTACACTGGAGCCCATGGATATTCTCAGCACGAATCATTAGGTATATTAGTGAAAAAGCACTTGGAATCTATCTACATGCTGACACTCCATAATCTATTCTATTTGTGTCACTGTAAAATAGATTTATATATAGATAACTACAAACTAGTTGCTTAAGATACGCTATGAATTTTATATTTAACCCGAGTCATGCTTCAACATAAAATCCAATGTCAGGCACTAAAAGGATATTTCTCAGTGAGCACATGATGTCTGTGGTCACTGGTTACTGCTCATCCCAGAATGCCAGGAGAGAAGTCAGACCAAGTGGGTCCCTGCCCAAGGAATTCCCTAACAGCCCTGGCCTTTCACTAAGGCAATGGTTCTCAAGTGTTTTCCTTAAAGGCCTAGGGGTTCCAGAGCAAAGGCCCAGAAGCACCCATGAGGCCTGGATAACAGGGTGGTGGTGACTAGACCTCCAAGAACCCCTACTTTCTCCATCTTTGATATCTACAGCTTTGCTTTTAATGGGTGGTAAATGGCGGCTCCCCTGAAAGACGGGCCTAGGACCTAATCCCCAGAACCTGTGAATGCAAACTCATTTGAAAAAAGGCTCTTTGTAGGTGTAATTCATTTAAGGATCTTGAGAGGAGATCATTCTAGATTATCTGGGTGGGCCCTGTATGCAATGACAAGTGTCCTCATAAGAGACATGTGGGAGATTTACAGACAGAAGAGGGGACAATACAGAGAAGAGGAGGCAGCATGACCACAGATTGGAGCCATGCGGCTCTACAAGCCAAGGAATGCTGCAGCCACCCAAAACTGAAGAGGCAAAGCGCAGATCTCCCCAGAGCCTCCAGAAGGCGTGTGACCCTGGCCCAAGACCTTGATTTCAGACTTCAGGCCTCCAGAACTGTGAGATCAAATTTCTTTTGTTTTAAGCTATCTAGTTTGTGGTAATTTGTTACACCAGCCACAGGAAACTAATACACTAGGCGTGACTAAATTGGAAGAAATACCTCCGAAGCAGTTAACTTTTGCAAACCACTGACCTCCACCACCCCCAAAGTTTTCTTTTCCTTCGTTCTTACTCATCCCCGGGACTGAATCTGATATGGTCAGTCCAATGTGCCCGCAGGGCCTGCCTGGGGGAAGTTTCAGAAACAAATCTCTTCCTCTGGGTCTTACCAGATGGTTCGGTGCTTATACTCACCCCGTCACATCTGGCACTCACAAGCACCCTGTGGCCAGATGGGGAACCAGAGCAGAGGACAGGGCCCATGTCTGTTCCGTCCCCATCCACATCCAGCCCTAGCCTGGGCCCTGCGGCACAGTATGAACTCAACACGGAGAATGAACGGCATGCCCAAGGGCGCAATACTTCCAGCCATGAGCTTGTCTGAACAACTCTCATGACTCCTATCCTGGGGCCATTCCCACTGAGACCTGCAGCCCAAGACAACGCAACCAAACAACTTCTCAGTGGATTGGGGGCTCAAAGACAAATTCCACTTCTGGCCATGTTGACGGAAGAGTCCCAGTGATGCCCGGTGCCCGGGAGTCAGAAGACGACGTTCTCTCCGAGTACAGTTTCTACATCATCCCACCGAAAATGCTAATGCTTCAAGTTCTACCAAGTCACAGTAGTAATGAGACGTCCTCAGCACACTGGACTTCGGTCCCACCCCTGCTTGATTCTGTTTTCCCATCTGACGACAAGTGAGCTACAGTCTGAGATGTCGAAGGCTCTGGTGGAGGCCAGACATCTACCCCGAAAGTGTGCATGTCTCCTTGCACAGGACGGGGAGCAGGG